ATCATGCCCACATCAACCACAGGTCAGCCTGGAAGAGAGCATCATCCTGCTGGGACACATGCCCTGCAACAAATACACAGCAAAGGCCTTTGAGCTTTCTTCCTCAACTACAAAAAGGTGCCACCAATAACTGTCTTCAAACCAGTGAAGGAAAGCAAGCACGCTAGAACCTTTCAAAGTTTACACTAGCTGGAAGAGGTTTTATCTAAATCAAAGTAGCGCAAAATTCCTCAAAAGCCTAAATCCAGGTTAGAGTCAGTTACTTAATTTCATTATCTCAGTTTTTAGCTGAGTGTGCCCAAGGGGGAGCTCTTAGTGATCTTTTACTCTTTGGTTACTCAACAAAAAGGGCACATGTTGGAGGAGAGCAGACTTCAGCAGCAAATGCCCCTTCAAACCCTTGGTCAAATGGAAAGAGGTCACCAGAACTGCCTTCCCTTCCAGCAATACAGATTTACTCTACACTTGTAGAGTAATTCTGGGCATTTTCACTCAGCAATTTCTAAGAAAGACCCCTTGCTCTTTAATGCCCTTATTCTTTCTTTCTTGACCCCATCTTGCAGCACTACTGCTTTTTGTAAGTCTTTAACTGTTTCGGAGCATATACTGTAGCTGATACCACAAAGGGTCAGAGCCCTGCAGTCCTCTCAGCTTCATATCTGAGACTGTTCACCACCATCTGCAAAAGACCAGGATGGGATACAAGCCATGGGCACAGGTGCATAGCCAGCCCTTGCACAGATGGGTCTCATCTGCTAGCAGTGCTGTCCTCACATGATGCCCCACTGCTTCCCAACCTGCAGACCACCCCTAAGAACCTGCAGAACAAGTAAGAAAAAAGTAGTATAACTCTGCAAAGGCAGCTTCTATATTTTACAGTCAAAAAGACTAAACCCAAGTTATTGTTGGCATCAGCTCAGCTGGACTGACAACCAAGCATTTACATCTATAGCTAGTAAATAAATCTCATTCTCAGTGCCCTACCCTGAAGGCAGAGAGCTGCTTTTGCTTTGAGCAATCGTGCAGTTAGTGGGGCTAAGCACAGCTCTGGGGGAGATGTGTGTGAAAACGGCCAGGGCTCAAAGTTACATTGGGAGGAAACTAAGAAATGTTGCATAAGGCAGCATAAGCAGGTCTGTAACTCAAATGAACCTGCACCTTCCTTAGCTCTCCTCAGCAAACACAAGACACTGATACATCCCACTTCATTACAACGAACTGGAAAAGCCTCCATGTGGCAGTCCCTGGGGTGTGAGCACTTGGCCCCCTTCACTGAGACCACCCTGCTGCACAATGATCAGAAGAACACTCTCACAGACAACTGCATCAACATAAGAATAATTTCTTCATCATTTATGTGGCCCTGAGAGATGGCTGTTTAAGGCTTCAAGTAATAGCTCACTGCACAAGTTTTGCTGGGAGTCCATTAGTACTCTCCCAAAATCTCCAATCCAAAAAAAAAAATAAAATCATAGGACCTCATAGCTCAGGATGTTTTTCTTCAGATGATGCTAAGGGCATTTTAAGCTAAGATCAAGCAGAAGCACTGCATCAACTGAGCAACACAGATCTCCTTATGGGGAATATATAAGATGTGCAATGTGAACCTCAACAAGAAGAAAAAAGAAATTTAATTGGTGGCCTAATAACTCGCTGCTTCCTTAGATGTGAGCGTAAGCTATGGGCTGAAATAATTTCCTCTCAGTCACTGCACACTGCAGCGAACTTTGTAGCATGTCCCCAGCACACATTCAAGAAAGACCCATCCTGAGAGTTAACACAGGCACTATCACCAGACTGTGTCAGTTTTTGTACTTTACTTTTGAGCTAACATAGAACTGTAAGAAGATTCAGATCTGAAGAGAGTCCAACAGAAATGCTACCATAAATCACACAGAAAAAGGAGAAAGGCTGTAAGTCAGTACAGGATCTGGCTTTATTTATTTAAAGGCACAGTTCCAAGCCTAGAGATTTTTAACCCAAATTTAACAAGGGAAACTTCTTTTAAACAAAAATCAAAAAAGGAGCAGATGCTGTTAATGTGCAGCCAACATGGCAGCTTAGCTCATGTGTTTGCATACCATACACATGCCAGAAGAAAGATGAAGAGGACACCAGGCAGCCCAGCTCCTGCAGGTAGAGGGTTGATGGAGCCAGCACCTCTTCCTAGTGGGGATTCTCCAGTTACTAATAAAAGCTCTTTTACCCTATCCTTCAGTAGGGGTATAACTGGAGTTCCTTGTCTTCGCCTGGTCTATTTTCACAAAAATCTAGAGAACATGCTAGTTGTGAAAACTTCTCTCTAAGCTGGTTTGACCTGTGTCCAAGACAGTTCAGGGTGCTGGGGCACAGCAGAGGCCCCACTCTGACATCCCGAGTTGGACTAAAACCAGAATGGAATTGTGTGTGCCCAGAGAAAAAGCGGGGGGCAGGGGGGAGCGACCTATGCTCACCTAATTTAAATCACAAGTCACCCTGAAAACCACACCATACATGAATATATATAGGAATACTTATATATATATTAAAAAGAAATTATAAGCTCAAGAACAAGCTGTGGTGGGAAACCTGCCATCATGTTAGCATTACCAGCTGAAGACACCACATACCTTTTTCCTTCGTGTACCTACCTAGCACTTCAAACTAAGCTTGAAGGTTCCTAACAGCCCACTTCTGCAGAACCAAGGAATTTTTCAGCACTTCACACACCCACATGCTCATGTGATTTTCATTAATGCAATTTATAAACCACACTAACATACTGAACAGTCATATTCTGGAGTACCAAGAAGCACCTGGCAGAGGTGCAGCAGAAACCCCTCTGTCCAACCCCTCAGCTTTCACCCACATTAATTACTTAGGACATGCCTAAACCAGGAGCCTTGATCTAGCACTTTCAAGTCAGCACAGGTTTTACAAGAGTTTAATTGTTTCCCTGTGGTATTAAAATTAAGCAGGTAGAAGAATGCTTACTCATATTTTGTGAAAGTGTAACAGGAAAGTAACTCCTTCAAACTCCAGCGATCCCCAAGACTGATACACAACCCCCAACCCATTATCTCAGGCAAATTTTAATATACAGAAGTCACATGCAGATTTCCAACGGCCGCTGGGACCCAGCCCCCTGCAGAAGCTGCTCTCATTACCCACTTCCTGCGAGAGCAAAGCTCTTGGAAGATGAGCTCTGCATCGCAGGTCTTGCTCTGGGTGCAACCATCCCAGGAAAGAGGAGTCCTTTAGCGCAGCCCGGGCCACGGAAGGAGACTGTGTCACTGCTCAGGGAAAAGCACATCAGAAACTCAACTGGGGACCAACTAGGCAATTAATAAAAATCCTCAGTCGCTTTTTCTTGCAGGGTAGATAAAAGTCTAGAGCACGGCTCTCCATCGTACTACAGAAGCAGCTTGGAGGGTTTGGATTCAGAAGTTGCATTTACAAGAAAAAGCTTCAACTTCATACAGGCACACGAATCATTTGGGCACCCCAGCATACAAGATCTATGCTGACACGCATCTGTTTTGCTACTGTCACTGCAAACCAGACACGGAGTGACACCGAAGGAGTGGCGTGACCCTGGGGGTCTCAGAGCCAGCACAAGGGTTAGTAGGGGCTGCCTGCCCGCTCCTGCAGCAATTTAACAAACCAACTTTTCTTTCAGGTTGCCCGAACGACTAACCATTCTGCTTGGGATGTGACGGCCAAACAGCGCGGCTTCCTCCTAGGCAAGGCGCTGGCCGTACCTCCGGGAGCCCTGTTTTGGTATCGCCCCGCGGGCTGTGCAAGACACCGAACAGACCCTGCCACCCCACAAGCCAGCGTTCAAAAGAAATCCTATAATGGCATTAACTATTTTTTCCAGAGCAACCACTGTGGCGACCGAGAGGCAGAGGGGCGCGGGGCACAGGGGCCGTTACCAACTGCCGCCGTAGCGGACGGCTAGCAACGGCCCTCGCGGCCGCACGCCCGCCCAGTCCCAGTCCCCGGCCTGCTCCGCAGTGCCACGCGCAGCCCCCGGGAAGCGGCTAGAGAAGGAGACCAGGCCCAGCAGCAGCGGCAGCACAAAAGCGCCCGTTAGGCCCAGGGCAGGCGACAGGCAGCGTCCCGGAGCGGGCCGCAGCAGAGGGAGCGAGACGGTACTGACCTTGGTGTCGCCGTTGCAGAGGGCCATGGGGTCTGCCGGGGACGCTTCCAACAGGCGGGGAGCGGCGGACGGGCAGCCCCGAAGTGGGGAGGGGGAAGAAAGAGCCACGAGAAGCCGCCGCCGCGATGAGCTAATGCCGCCCGGCTGCGCCTCCGCCACGGGGAGGAGGAGCCGCCCGCGCCAGCCCCGCGCCGGCGGAAGGGGCGGAGCGCGGGGCCGGACTCGTTAGGGGCCGTTGGGTTCTGGAGCGGCGGGTACATCGGAGTGGGCGGTGTAGCCCGGGCTGACCCCCAACCTCCAGACTCGGAGCCAGGAAGTCCCGCACGGCATGGAGGATATCGTTAATGGTTCAGGTGGCCGAGGGAGGCAGCTACATCTGCACAGCTTCCCCGAAACGCTCTCGAAGTACTTGTGACCCCTTAATGCTCAACTCCCACCACCCCACCTGCAGAGAAGGACGGGGGTGTAGTGCGAGGGCAGGGAGTCCAGATAGTTACGCTTGGAATTATATCGCCTGCACCACCCTATTCTGAGCGATTTTGTCCCAAGGGTGGCATCAATGTGCAATTTTTGTTCTAAAGGGGTGGGGTTTTGTAGGAGATGTCACTGTTATGCGTTATTTATAACTACATCATGACCACACCACTCAGAAGTATATCTTGCTTTTCGTCTGTTTTTAACGCCTGAAGCATCCTTCCGTTTCCCAGGTGTTTTAAACTCCTCAGAGATTGCCACGCGGTTGAAACTGTCCTGTTCCTGCGCTCTTCCTCCGCTACTGCTCACTAGTGAGTCCCACAACAGCCTCCTACAGCACCGTGGGCCTCCCGCGGCACTAGGACCGGTATCTCCATTCCCTCCCGCCCAGTACAGTCGCGGCTCCGCCTCACCAGCAGGGCGGGACGGTACCTGACGTATGTCTGCGGAGCACCAATGAGCCGCAGCCAAGCCTGCCGCCAGTGCCCTCGTGCCCGGAAGGGGTGGGGTGGCAGCTGCCCGGCCGGTGTGCGGCGTTTGCTAAGCGGCGGCCTCAGCTCCAGTTCGGCTCCTGCGGACGCAGTGCGGCCTCGGGGCCGCCGTCGCTGCTGAAAATATGTCGCCCGCTATCGCGGCCAAAGAGGGCGGCCGGCAGCGTCGGGCCGGGAGCCACCATCACCACCACTGCCTGGACGTGGCGAGTGAGGCGCCCCCCGCCCTGGCGCTCTGCGGGGATGGGTTGCTGGGCGGTGAGGCAGAGGTGCTGCTGCCGCCGGAGCCGGACCGGAGGGTGCGGGGATACCGGGCGGAGCTTGGCAGCATCCTGCTGCTGCTGGTGCTGTATGTGCTTCAGGGCATCCCGCTGGGACTGGCAGGTAGCGTCCCTCTCATCCTGCAGAGCAAGAGTGCCAGCTACACGGACCAGGCCTTCTTCAGTTTCGTGTTCTGGCCCTTCAGCCTCAAGCTGCTCTGGGCCCCCTTGGTGGACGCCGTCTATTTGCGAGGCTTTGGCCGCCGCAAGTCCTGGCTGGTGCCCACGCAGTATGTGCTGGGGCTCTTCATGATCTACATGTCCACCCAGGTGGATGTGCTGCTGGGCGACGGGGAGGGCCGGGGCCCCGACGTGGTTGCCCTTACTGTGGCTTTCTTCCTCTTCGAGTTCCTGGCGGCAACGCAAGACATTGCGGTGGACGGCTGGGCCCTCACCATGTTGTCCAGGGAAAACGTGGGCTACGCCTCCACCTGCAACTCAGTAGGCCAGACGGCTGGCTACTTCCTGGGCAACGTTCTCTTCCTGGCCCTTGAGTCGTCCTCCTTCTGCAACAAGTACCTGCGGTTCCAGCCCCAGCCTCGAGGGATTGTTACTCTCTCAGGTATTGCTTGGATACCGCCAGCCTGTGTGTGCTGATGTTGGGATGGGGATGCTTCTTCCCTGACCCTGGATCCAGGAGCTCAGGGAAGCTCTGTTCCAAGTGAGCAGTGTGAACCGAGCAGGTTTAGTTTGTCTCCTGCCCATGAGAAACTCAGGTATTGCTTGGATACCGCCAGCCTGTGTGTGCTGATGTTGGGATGGGGATGCTTCTTCCCTGACCCTGGATCCAGGAGCTCAGGGAAGCTCTGTTCCAAGTGAGCAGTGTGAACCGCGCAGGTTTAGTTTGTCTCCTGCCCATGAGAAACCACAGCCTGCCTGGAGCCTGGCAGAGTCTAGTCCTACATGCACTTCCAGGCCTCCTTGGGCTTAAGAGTGTGGGGAAACTTGCCTTGTCATTGTCATAGCTGACCCTCCACTTTGGAGGGAATTATCCCCCCCCCCCCCTTTAATGACTGTGGAATAGATTATTTTAAAAAAACAACAAACAAACAAACAAAACCCCCCAAAACAGATAAACCAAAGGCTTTGCTTCTTTTTAAGGATGCCTTTTAAGAACATTTCTGGGAGGAAAGAGAAATGAAAAAAAAAAAAAACTCTTACAAGATAGTATTGTTCACAGAAGTAGGAATGACAAGTGTTCAGGGGTGACCATGTAGCCAATTTCTGAAGGAAGGCCCTATTTTAGTGTATTAAAGGGGACTTTGGTTTCTAGTTAATAGACTAAATGAAGTCTGGTAATCCAACCATAACTAGCTATTAGTTTAGGGATGTCTTCTCTTTGGTGGTTTAGGGGTTGCTTGGGGGTTGTTTTAGTTTTGTTGTTGTTGGTTGGTTTGTTGTTTGGGGTTGGTTTTTTAAGAAAGGTGTGTGGTGGCTGATGTTAGGCATGTTACCTGGAAGGTGTTTAAAACGCACATGTTTTGGTTTTAAGGTTGAGTTTAGCCAGCTCAGCTTATGGGAGGACAGGAAACACTGGCACCACTTCTGTTTGCAGTCTTACAGTGACCATGCAGTGAAGAGTAAATTCTCACAATTTTAGTTTCTTTTCCTTCTCTTACATTGATTCCTCTACCTGTATCATCTAAGAGAAAAGGTATGCCAAAACTGAGTTAAATTGTTGTTTAAAGGCTAGTTTTTGCTTTCTATCCTGTACATATCTTAATAAATCGGGATATTGGATTCCAAAACTGCTGTACTTATTTTTGTCTGTGCAGCTATTGCAGTTGCTAACTAGCCTTCCTCTTCTGTTCCTTTTGATAACCCTATGTCTAGTCTAGGTGTCAACAAGTATGGAGTAGTTCTCAAAGTAACACTGCTGGTTTATTGCTTCCCTTGGTTTTCCCTTACTGTGTCGTTTGTCAATGCTGGCGTATCTCTTCCTTCTTGTTGCTGCAGCAGACTAATGTCCTTAACTGCTGATGCAACTTGCAAATCGCTGATGTATTTAGGAACTCGATTTGTCCACACTGTTGTCCTTTTGTTGTTTTCTTGTTTTGGGTTGGGTTGTTTGTTTTTTTTCTCAGTACTGTTTGCATAAATTAATTTGATGCTATTGTAAGAGTGCTGTCTTTGAAAAAAATACCAATAATCCCAGAACTTAAAACCAGCAATGTGACCTGTTTAACTTGTCCTGGAGTACTAACCTGAGTGGAGTTAGCAAATCAAATAACTCTGACACTATAGTTGCAGGATATATTTTTTGGGGATAGTAAAATGAACTGCAGGAAATTCCTGTTCCTTTGTTCATGTGACCGTATTGAACAATTTGCAGTGCTCACCCTTCTCCTGAAGCAGCTTTAGAGCAGCAGTACTGTCAACAAGCTCACTGACATGAGAAGAGTAGCTTTCTGGCCCTAGAAGGGCTTGCGATGAACCAGTTCAGGCAGCTAAAGCAGCAGAAAACTTTACAGTTTCAGGTGGTTAATGGTTTTCTGCTGGTTCAGATTTCTGGCCACTTTTGTCATAGGCTGAGTACCCATGCTGGGGAAAGAACACATCAACAGTTTAGAATTCCAGTCAGCCTCAAGTTGTTGATAAGCAACAGCATTAGTTGTTCTTGTTAACTTTGGGAAATAATACAGAAAAAAAGTAAAACCATTCAGCAAATCAAATGCTGTGTTACGTCATTTCAGGCTGCAGTTCTAGAGAAGAAAATGAGAAACATTTATTTGGGTATGTATATGAGTTTAGGTCTTGGCTGTTCGAATTACTTTTTTTAAAGGCTTACTGGCTGGGTCTTTTGATTCCTGCCCAGTTTGCCATGCAGACATGTGAATGCCTGCTCCAGCAGGAAGGAGAGGTTAAGTGTGAGTGCAAGAAGAAGGTGCCACTTCAAGGCAGCCCAAATGTATGTGGGCCGGTGACTGCAGTGCCCCTTTTCCTGGGAGGAGATGCATTGCCATAGATTACTTAAAGCTGTTGTGATGAAACACCTGTAGCCCATGAACACCTTGTTGATGGTTATTTTCCAGCCAGGTCTGTCCCTGGTCTAGTTCAAAAGTTTGCTTTTCCCCAGTACAATGGTTGATTTTGTTAGTAGCAGTGTAGGGGCAGGGACAAATTAGGGATGGCAGTAGACAACAGTGGTGGCACCAGAAACTTTGTGCTAGAAATACTTTGTGTAAATTATATTTTTAAAGTTTTTTGCTTGTAGCCTCTTAGTGGACTTCACTGTGTTTGAAATGAAGTGTACTTTATGTTTGGGTAAACTGCCTACAACCACAGGCAGCTTTGTTTTGGTTTATATATGGCTTTTTGTGATTATTGTTCTGTTGCTAATCCAGCCATTGTATCACTGCATTACTGTAGCTAACAGGGCTGCTCTGATAAGAGTATTCATGCAATGATGCTCAAAGCTATTTCTGTTCCTGTCCTCACATTGTAGGCTGCTCACTGTGGTGATTATGCTTGGCTCTATTATTAGAGTACCTCTTCTGAAGACAGTAGCTGTGATTAGCATGACTCTGAAAACTCATCTTTTACATGAAAGTATGTGTTCAGGATACCTTTTTTCTACAGAGGACAAAGCAGTCTGGCAGCACTGGTTATGAGATCTTCTTTACTTTATAAAAGGTCAAAGTAGCAGGTATGGAAGCAGCAGAGAATGGTTTGAAATGACTTTTCTCTTTTATAATGAGAATGGTAGGATATACCTAAAGTAGTCTTCCCGTGTTTTCTTAAAGCTTCTTGCGTTTTTTCTCTTTCTGTGTGTAAGGAGCATCTAATAATTGACTGTGTGCTCACTTTGCCCCTTCACCAGCCTTCACTGCTTACTTTCAAGTCACAGTCAGGCTTCTGGAGTTGCTCAGGATCAGGAAGATAAAAGGCTACTTCTGTCTTACCCCTCTGCATGTTACTGAGTTCTTTCCTGCCTCTTCCACAGAGGCAAAGGATAGGATTATCTTGAATTAATCCACTCACTAACTCAAAATGTACTTGCCGTAAAAAATTGCTGTGTTTTTATTATTGTTGTCTTCAAAAGCATCATTTATCAGATATTGTATCTGCTTAAAATGGAGCACATAAAGGTTAACAAGAATAATATCCACTTAAACCAGGCATATTTGAGTGACTCTTTACAACATGTGTAAGAACTTTCATCAGGCTGGCTTTACATTTACGAGTGTAAATCTTTGTTTCCTTTAGATGGTAGATCTTAGATAGGGAGTATAGAATTGAGGCACAGACTAGTTTCATGACTATACAGTAAATCAGCTGGAGAGGTATGAATGACTCCTTCCTCTGAAGTTTTTTCCCCTGTCTTGTAACTATGAAATATTTTGTTCCTCCTCTATCAGCTTTTACTAGCTGTACGCATAATCCTTCACAAATTTTATTCTTACTTCTGTTTCTTTTCCAACGTGCTCATTGTGGTAATAACACACAGATCAGCAGGGAAATGACCTGCTCTGCTGCTGCTCTTCTGTCTCAATCTCAAACAAATATATCATCACATAATGAGAAGCAGGGAAGAGCTATCAGTTACTATGCATAGCTATGTGTTTGTGGCTTGCTTTTAATGCTTGTTTTTAGGAGGTTCAATGAGTAATATGTATTACTATTAGGTTTATATTTTTGTGAAATAACTGCATTATAGATGCTCAGTCAATTGTTAATGAAGTGTTAACGATGGCTGTTAGAAAGATTTTTATTATTATTTTTATTTTACCATTTTTTTCCCCTCCAGATTTCCTGTTTTTCTGGGGAGCTGTCTTTTTAATTACCACGACACTGGTGGCTCTTTTGAAAAAGGAAAACAAGGAACTAATACCAACAAAAGAAGAAACAAAAGGCATTACTGATACGTACAGGCTGCTATTCTCAATAATCAAGATGCCAGCAGTTCTAACTTTCTGTCTCTTGATTCTCACAGCAAAAGTAAGTAAATACATATATGACTTGTCAGATGCTGATGATATCAGGATCTGAAAGATTGCCAAGTCCCTGTGATGTAACTTGTTAGTTTTACGAGGGGTTGTCATCAGAGTTCTGAATTTTCACATGGAGCTTGGGGTAGAATTGCTTGTATCATCATGCCACGCAGGGTTATACAAGAGAAAACATTTGTTTGAGCTTTTGTAAGTGTTTACACAAGCATTAAAGAGAAGTTTGACTGAAATCTAGTATTAAAGTAATTTACATTTAAGCATTTTTAAACAGTTCATCTGTTTGTGTAGTCTGCAGTTAAAATGACAGAAAATGTTTCTTTTAACCTATATACCATTTCCAGAATCTGCATCTCTGCACAAACTAGGTTTCCACTGCTGCTTCTTGGCTGTCATAGATGTCAACAGAAATTGAGGCATGGGACATGAATGTCATTACTATGTTTAATGCTCTTGGTATAGTTTTGGCACAGTGTGCAAGTGTAGCATGTGTCTTGGAGCTTATTTGGAAAATGCATCAGAGATGGAAGTGACTTGTAATATATCATGTTTCTCAGTTTACTTAATACTGAGTAAACTGAATTTCAAGCTAAACTATCGCTGCTTTCCTCAGTCTATTTTGTCTAACTTGTGCTGCAGGTTGGATTTTCAGCAGCAGATGCTGTAACAGGACTCAAATTGGTGGAAGAGGGAGTCCCGAAAGAGCACTTAGCTCTGCTAGCAGTTCCAATGGTTCCATTGCAGATAATATTGCCTCTGATTATCAGCAAATACACAGCAGGCCCCCAGCCACTGAACACATTTTACAAAGCTATGCCTTTCAGGTAAAAACCAACCAAACAAAAAAAATCTCATTTGATAGAAATGTAGTAATTTCTGTACTCAGAACTGGTAGAAGATTTCTTGTGTAACTCTTGACTTCCGAGTACAAGGAAGTATGTTGGAATTCTCATAGTAAGTTTAACTGTCTTGTGCCTTGAAGATAATTCACGTAGTATCGCATACAGGAAAGCAGAACATGAGGTGTTTTTAAGATGCACACAAAACAGCGTTGCAGCAGTACTCTCCTGTTCTTACTCAGTCTCAATAGTTCTTTATTCATGAATTTCTCTAGATCTGTGACTGTATCTGTAAAATTACGTGTGCTTCCTAACTTAAGAGTGGCACAACACACTGACAAGTCACTTGGCGCATCTCCAAGGGGTATGCTTTACTGAGGTGACTGAGAGTAAAAGACATTTCACTTTGGTGGTGTTTTTTATATAGAGGCTTGCTTATGGAATTCTAAACCAAATGAATCCAGCAACCTAATGCAGTTACTCATTAAGTCATGTAGCATGTCTGTAATAGGTAGCTGCTACTTTTAACATGTTCTTATGCAAATATGTATGTTTTCATGCGCACCAGATGTAAACTATTTTAATGTACTTTGTATATATAAATGTTTGATGGTTGCTTTGTATAAAGGAAACACATGAATGAAACACATGGGAGGAATTACTTGAATTACAAATTATCTTTCTTATTCCTCCAGATTACTTCTTGGTCTGGAATTTGCTTTTTTGGTATGGTGGACTCCTAAAGTAAAGCATGAAGGAGGATTTCCTATTTACTACTATGTTGTAGTATTGTTGAGTTATGCTTTACATCAGGTAACATACGTTACATGTAGGGAGGGGAGGGTAACAGGAAGGTACTTCATATCAGTCAAGTAGAGGACTATAAATGCTGTTACTTGTTTTTGTCTTTAATTACACTAGAATTCTCTGACCTGTGTGCTGTACAGCTATGTTTACTTTTGATACTCTTGCAGTAATATTTCTCCCTCTTCTATGTGCTCCATTGGACATTTTCTGTGGAGTTACTTCTGGTTGACAGTATCTGCTTTTGTTTCCCAGATGTTTGGGGGTTTTTTTCCCCCAAACCCAGAAGCTGAAAAGCATGGTGGAGCTGGAGAAATCACAGCATTCTGACTGAGTTTCAGAGGCATGATGATTGTGCTTATTATGCGGATCCATAAAGTTATGTGATCCTGGTCCTAAAAAAGATACCTTACTGATTTTGAAGGAATTATCATGATGGATCTGATCCAAAGGCTTGGAAAACAAGCACCTGATACAAACTGGGCTTTGGATCACAACTAAAATGTATGCAATTAATTAGGAGTTGATTTTAAATGCAAAAGTGTTATTTTTCTTTGCTATTTTAGCTGGTAATCTTATACTTCACATTGATAACCTGAGTCATTCCAGTGCAGGTGAGGCTTGATCTGTTTCAGCCTGACTTGAGAGAAGTGGCAAGGCTACTTCTTGGTATTGGTAGAGGGGTACACTGCAGAAGTAGTTTCTCTCTTACGCAATTTTATGGTGTTGGGATTATTTTTCAATCAATGTTGCTAACTTCAAGTAATCTCCTAGGGTTTTTAGTTGTCATTGTCTGCACCTTATTTCTTATTGGTTTTCTTATTTCTTCTGTAGATTACTCTGTATAGCATGTATGTTGCAATAATGGCTTTCAATGCCAAAGTCAGCGATCCACTGATTGGAGGAACCTACATGACACTCCTAAATACTGTGTCAAATCTTGGGGGGAACTGGCCTTCCACTGTTGCGCTCTGGCTTGTGGACCCGCTTACGGTGAAAGAGTGTGCAGGGGCCCAGGAACACACCTGTGGAACTACAGTTGCTGCAGAAGTAAGTTTTGGAGGTGGAGGAGGTCCCTGTTTAATTATTTCTCCATTAAATTGTTTTCCAGTATTTTTTCCACCTCTGAAAAACTTTGTAGCCAATAGCTTAAAAATTCCTCGTGATTGAGCTAATTTTCCTGTTAGATAAAATTAAGTCTGTTTTTGTCTGTATGCTCTTAGTAACTAACATCTTACCAAAGACTGGCAGTTGCAGAGTAGTTACCTGTTTCTTTCTTGGCTGGAATGAAAAACTGGTGGTAGAAGCACTAGACTGGTGCCACATTCTCTATGGTATAAGGAGGCTGTAGTTACATTTTTGAGAGTAAACCGTTTTAAGTTCAGAGTTGTGTAATTAGGCACTCTGTTCTTGGCAGGCTGTTTGTCCCACAAGTCCCTTAAATTTTGGGGTAGGTTAAGTGTTTTTACCTTCTGTCTTTCTGGAGGCTTCCTACCTGGATGCCTTGATACCTCCTTCTTCTGTGATGTGCTTTCTTTGATCTTCACTTTCCACGTGAAATTGAGCGGTGTGACTAGGCAGCTTTCCCAGTTTTGGGAGTCCAGTGGAAGAGAACAAAGGACTTGCTGTGCTGCGGTACACAGATCAAGAAACAGGACGCAAAACTGCCTGGAAAGCAAGGTTTCAAATTCACTGCTTCATGTGCAAATGAGAACACTTTAACGTGACTATGTGGAAGGGTGGAAATGTTTTGGGGGTTTCGTTGGTGTTGTGGTTTGGGGATTTTTATCTGTACTCATGACTGAGATTTATTCTGCCCTAGAATGCCAGGACTCTTAGATGTGGAGGTTCTCTAAATACACAAACTGTTCTAGAGATCAAAAGTGACTTGTTGGAACTGGAGTTGCAGTTTTTACTAGTTGAAGAGGGAAGCTGTTTCCACAGTGTGTGCTTTTTCAGCCTGCCTCTCATTAGGTTACCAATTATTAGGTTCCCTGGACCTGTGCTGAATTGAAGTCCTTCCTCCTTCATCTCACTCCTCTGATCTTTTTTCACAGCCTCTCAATTGGTAATGTTCGACCACTGCCACCACTCCCCTTTTATTGCTAATCTGTCCAAGAGCAAAGAAGTGCTGGCAGAATCTCAACTCGGAGAACTGATTTATCTTGGGGTTATGGTAGTACTGGAAGCTGAACAATAACAGAAACAATTGTGTGCTATACATTTACCCTTTAAGTGCTGGAGTATTTGTCTTCCAGATTTGCATTACAGACCGTCCTGGGCATGTTTTTTCCAGACATACACAGCATTTTGTATCGCCCTTGTGGTGAGATGCAAGGATATAGTTTCTAAAGAAGCCATTTGGATGGCTGTGGAAGAAAAAAAAAAAAGCAACAAACCTTTCTTTTTGTGTGATTAAGAACAGTGATCCCACCTCCAGGTCAACATGAGGCAGCTGGGCAGCTTCTGTTTTCTAGAGTTCACCCCTTGGGCCAGTATGCTCCATTTCCCAAATGTTTTTTAAAGTTTCTTATTTTCATAGTGATGGTAAGATCAAAAGCCTCTCATAACTCCATACAAATGGAAGAAGAGTAAATAAATGCAAGTAAAAAGCCGTGGATATCTAATGCCTGTTTTCTGATAGTCTGTGTTTCCGTATGACCCAGAGAATACTTGATGCATCAACTTCTGCTTCTCTGTTTTAGCTCTGCACAAAAGCCGGTGGTTCCTGTGTTACTACCTTGGATGGTTACTATGTGGAATCCATCATCTGTGTCATTCTGGGATTTGGCTGGTGGTTTCTACTGGGCCCAAAATTCAGAAAGCTGCAGGATGAAGGACAGTCTTCATGGAAGTGCAAGAGGAGCAATTGATGCAGTTTAAATATTGGATGGACTAGCAAGGTCTTTTTAGTTTTATTACAAAGACATATCCCATAATCAATAAACAGGAATATAGGTATTTTTAAATGGCCCATCACTGACAAAAGGGGTGGCTGAAGCGGTGGTATGGTTACATGTGATACCGCTTGCCCTCCTAATACGAAAATGTAAGTTCAGAAAGTAATTGTTAAAAAAATGACACTTGCATCCTACATCCATATCCCTGAGCTCTAGCTTCAGTCATAGCTGCTGGTCTAACGCCTGAATTTTCATAGGGTACCTATGGAAAAGCTAATTGTGCCATGTCTGTCTGAACAGCAGCTTTGTCAGTTAAGTTATGACTCTTCAAACAGCAATGATCTGACACAGGGCATTGACCTGGGGAAGGACATCAAGGGCAGTTTGACATGTAGGTTAAGCGTTGTTGTACTACAGAATTCCTTGCGGGAAGATAAAAGTGAAATGTCTGTGGGCTTTGTTTCTTCTCCCTTTCTGAACTGTAACCACACCTCAAAGGATGAAATCTTTCAGAGATTCTTTTAAATGTATTTTCTGGCTTTTATAAGCTTTAAAGATTTATAAGAAAATATTTTTATAAACAAATTACATTTGTTTAATTTATTTCTGCTGTTTCAAAGCATTTTGATTTGCATTCAGGTACTTTCTTGGAAAAAAAAATGCTGTAAGGTAGGACTTGAATAACGCACAATATTCTAAGCCTTGAGTTCTGAAGGTATAGCCTGGATAGCGTAGCAGGTAGCACACAAAAAAGCCCTTGGAAGGCAGCTGTTATTATGAGGGAATGAATCCATAGTGTTGGTTCCTCTATGTGACTAAAATTCAAACATTCAATTTCAAAATCAGTGGGAAAAAATGGGACCCTTCCCAGCTAGTGGAAAGGAAAGGTGATCAGTGCCTTTGAAAGTGATTTGGTGACGACAAACCTGAAACACTCCCAGTGAGTTCGTGTATGACTTGGTGTCACATAAATCAGATGAGATAAACCCTGCTACAGAAATTTATTACTGATGCTGTGTGGTGGAAACATTCCCATTGCATTTATCAAAAGTTACTTCCCTCCTGAGTGCCTTAGTGATGTACAGCAAGCACACTGTATGCCTGGAGAGAGGGCACTTGGACACTGTTCCATGCATATAGCACATCATTATTAAAGAAGAAAACTATTAAAAATCCCTTTGAAAGGTACCTGATTTTTTTTTTTCTATTCTGTGTTTCTTGCCTTGTCAATATTTGTAGTATTGTATCTTAAGCTCAGTGTTCCAAGCTCCAGAAGGGCTTATGGATCTTTTGTTACTGTATGTTTTTGGGGAAAAGTAAATCAATAGTGACTTTTCACTGGCTGGAGGGGATGTGTGTACAAAGTGTCTGCATGACACAAGGAGCAAGAAGGTGTCCAGAAGCAGAGACTGACCAAGTGCTTCCTTGGGCACTGAGCCTTGTTCCTATCTCCTCTCCCTCTTCTCAGAGCACCAAGCCCTGAGCTGTACATCAGTCGAGATAAATAAAATCACATTGGTTTTACTCCCCAGATGGAAATTTACAGAATGATTTGGGTTGGAAAGGACATTAGAGATCATCTAATTCCAGCCCCCCTGCCACAGGCACAGATCCCTTCCACTAGAACAGGTTGCTCCAAGCCCTGTCCAACCTGGCCTTGAACACTGCCAGGGATGGGGCAGCCACAGCTGCTCTGGGCAACCTGTGCCAGTGCCTCCACCCTCATAGTGAAGTTTTATTTTTTTTCCTAATACCCCTCTGTCAGGTTAAAGCCATCCCCCCTTGTCCTGTCCCTGCACGCCCCTGTAAAAATTCCCTCTCCAGCTTTCTTGTCAGCCCCTTTAGGTACTGCAAGTTTGTTGAAAAGCTTCCCTGGAGTCTTCCCCAGCCTGAATGAGCCCAGCTCTCTATGCCTGTCTCTGTAGGAGAGGTCTTCTAATTTCATATCCGCATAAGCACAAAAAGAAGATAAGACTATGTTGGAGATTCATAGTCAGTGGTGGACGCAGGTTTCAGCAGATCATCTCTGCTGGATTAACTGTAAAAGGCACTTCCGTTCTGTCTCTACTGAAACAATGGGCCACTTTAACTGCATCTTGTTCACAATTAAAGATACATTTTTTTTTCCTTAACTTTTCTGAACTAGAGGAAAAACCTCTCAATTGGAGAATATACGAGATTATATTCTTAGGTGCTTTAGAGTTTTTGTTTTGTAACACAAATTGGAAGTGGTCCTACTGTACCAGCCCATTAGCAGGTTGCTGAAAAGAACTGGTAAACTTTAGGTCTCACTGTGTTTTTTCTCCTAACATTATACTAATGTATAAATTTTTTTTAAGATTATAATTACTGTAGTTTAAACATCTCTAACGGTAAAAAAATAACTTTTAAAAAAGACAACTGGCAACCCAACCTCTTCCTTGAGAGTGTTATTAAAATGGGAGTTCAAGAAGGTGGATGGTTCCAGGTGCTGCTGTAGATCACTTGGTAACTGCAGGGCTTTGTGCTCCTGCCTGGCCTGAGTGAGTCATGGGAGCCAGATGTGTGTTATCCCCAGCAAAAGGGAAATGGCAGAAATTGAATTTTTGTAGGGGAAGGGTTTGTCCCCTTTTAAGTTCCTGTGCAGGATCATTGTGAAGTGAGGCAGGTCTGAGGGGAAAGGGTGGACCAAGGGGTGGGTGTAGCAGGCCACGGGGAGGAGAGGTAGTGGACAGCTCTCCCCTTCCAGTGCTGGGTCGTTACAGGGGCTTACCATGCAGGAAAGGCATTGTCAACTGCGCTCACAGCTGGGACTTGTTCTTGTTTCCCAAGACTTCCTTAAGCAGCAAATACCAGCACTCCAGGATTCAATTCTATAATTCCCATGCCCAGAAGGAGCATGCGTGCAGGGAAGTGTAAGGTCCAACAAGTTGTATAAAATGGGATCAGACTGCTGTTGCACCCTGCCCCCTGTGGCCCCTGAGCAAACCAGCTGAGGACAGAGCGTGCCATTCAGGTGGCTTGGGAACTTCAGCACTGCAGGTGCACCATCAAAACAACTGTCTGTTCTTGTTTCAAAATGCCAGCGCTACATTTCATCTGTGTTACAGGTGCTGAAGAATCTGCCAGTGCCCATTGTCCACTTTGTTTTCTGTAAAGCTGCATTGTTTCATTGCCCTTGTTTTAGTTTCAACCTTGGATAAATTTTTTTGACTGAAGTATGGGGTTTGCTTCCTTGGGTTATGAATTCCCAACTAAATATCTTCTTCTCCTGGAACCCTGATCTGTGACTGTTAACTGTTACTGTCTCATGTATGGTCTGTTCATGTAGAAACCTAGAACTGGGTTTAAATGGAAGACTTGTGTAAACAAAATCCAGTTTACTATAATTAGAATATTATTATCATTAGAGTTAGATCAGATATAGGAAGAAATTCATTACTGTGAGCATGGTGAGGCAGTGGCAGAAGTTGCCCAGAGCAGTTGTGGCTGCCCCATCCCTGGAAGAGTTCAAGGCCAGGGCCGATGGGGCTCTGAGCAACCTGCTCTAGTGTTAGGTGCACCTGCCTGTGGCAGGGGGGTTGAAATTAGATGATCCTTAAGGCCCCTTCCAACCCAAAACATTCCCTGGGTCTGTGATTCTTACAATGCATATATTTCTTTGAAGCCCACAGAGGTGAGCGTTTGATGCCGCTGAGGGAACAGCTGGCTAGAGCCATTTGGAAAGGAGTGACAAGTAGTTGATATGAACTATGGTAGGGAAAAGAATAAACAACAGAGATGGGTGTGGAAGTATTCCACAGGTGGCTTTTCAGATGGTGCCCCGAGGTGCAGCAGGGGGCCTGTCCGGTAGCGGTACCGCACCTCAAGGCCCAGGGGAGGTGTGGTGCGGTTTGGAGGGTTATGGCCGTCACAGCCGCGTTAAAGTGCCACTAGGCCGAGACTCTGGAGCCGCCCTAACACGGCTTTGGGTTTGGAGGCCCAACGCACACAGCCCGCCCTCGGGCCCGGCCCTGCGGCCGCTCCTGTCCCCTTCCGGCAGCCCGGCCAGCGGGCGGCGCTGCGGGGAGGCACTGTGTGGCCATGGCGGAGCGGAGGAGCGGCGCGGCGGAGGCCTTAGCCCGCCTGTCCGAGTGGGCAGACGCGCACCTCGGCCTGCTGAGGGTGACGGGACCTGAAGGGCGCGGGTGAGGGGCGGGGGCAGGAGCCAGGGCTGCGCCGCTGAGCCCCGCTCTCCTCTGCCTGCAGAGCCTGAGCACTGGGATGGCGGTGGCTGGGGTGCTGGTGCTGGCCCGGAGCGTGCGTATGGTGAGTGGGTGCGGGGCGGCCGCTGCTCTGCGGGGCTCTGCCCGGTGCCGGCGGACGGAGGGGAACCCAGCGGGTCCCGGGGACTTACGAGGGCCCGCGCCGCTCCGCGCCGGAGGGACGGTGAAGGTGCGGTGTTACTCGTGTCTCTGCCCGAGGAACAGCCGCGCGGCCGGGGCCGGGACGCCGCCGTCGCCCCCGGTCTGTTTTCGGGCTTCCAGGCTTGGACCCCAGATGGGAAGGTTGTCTGAATAAATAACATTCAGGAGAAAGATCTTTGAGTTTAGTCGTGGTGGGTCAGGTTTATTTACTTCCAGAGGGCTGGTCCCAGCCGGTGTACATCAGCAGGTCGGTATTTTTCACAGCTGTACAGATGTGTGTCAGTGCTCTGCAAAAGGCTAGTGGCACTTCTAGATTTTAGGGTCTTAAATCCTGGCGCTGTGCCATTCCCAGCTCCCGTCCTTCTCCCTCTACCCACTAAACCTGTGGCTGTTTCATTCCTGTGCTGCTGGGCAAGGCTTTGCTGCTGCTAAGCAGTTTCCTTGTGTGATCACATAACTGCCCCCTTTGGATCCTCCTAGTAGCAAATTTAGTCTTATTGTCATATCTTCAAAGGTGTGCATCTGCTTCTCCTTCTCCTCTTTTAGTCCCTTACCAAAGGCTGTGTTGGTTCTACCCGCCCCACCTTGGTTTTCAGTGTGTGTTCTCTGCTAGCATGTTTAAGCACATCTTGGCTTTCCTTCACTCTTATCCTAGCGCCATTCAGCCCCCTTTCAAAACACCCTTCTCATAGTGAATCGAGAACTTCAATTCACATTGTTCAAAAATGTCACTTTCTGTGCTTTCTATAAACCTTGCTTTTCATGCCCACCCCTGATGTTGCAAGGCCTGTACAACATGGAACATTGCAAGTGTCTGGAATGGCTGGCACATAATGGCTTCTGCAGCTGATTGCTATTAAATATATATATATATATACACACACACACACATATATATATACTTGTCCGTGCTGTCTAATAATTGGAGTTTGCCAAACAATTTTAGGAAGAAGTTGGATTTAGTATGATTTACTGCTTTATGATTTTGGTTTGTTTGTTTATATTTTTTTTCCTTAAAACTTTGTCGTCTTCTTTCCATCAATAGACAACAAAGTTTTCAAGGGCTTTGGATATACCTGTGGAGTTTGTAGAAAAGAATGTGAAATTGAGGGGGAAATTACATCACATAACGGAGAAAGGCCTGGAAGTCGAACACATTCCCATTAGCATTCCTTTTATTACGGCAATACAGAGAAAATGTGAGTAGAACACAAAGGACAAGGGTGGGAATGGAATGTTGGGACTGTTACTATGGCTGCACAGAGAACAGGCTGTGGCAGGCTGGTGAGCAAGGGTTACAGTACAGTCCTGCCTCTGCCTTTTGGTCTTTCTATACTTCACAGGTGGAAAGCGGGGGAATAAAAGACTGCAAGGAGACCTGTAAAAAGAGCTCACCAATACAATATATGTATTAATCAGCATCATTATTGTGATATTTTTCTAAAAAGCTAGCACACTGGCAGTTCAGCTGCTTGCATAGCTCATCTCATTCCTGGCAAAAAGACTGTTCGGTTGGTGCTTTCTTTTACCCTGAAGATTGACCACCTGCCTGTACAAACCCACTCTTGGAGACAGTTTTGTTGTGACATGGTGAAAGCTGTCCCTCAAGCCTGTGAGGCTCACACACTTGCTTTGCAAATACTTGTGGGTGCTAATGCTTCTTGCCTGTTATTCCCCTCCCTTCAGATAAAATGAGAATGATATTTTTCACACTGTTTGTGTGAAAAATAAAATAGCTTAAAAGAAGCTAGATTAAACCACTTACACAATCTTGAATAACTTTTTTTTATAAAGGAGAGATGAGACCAAATTCTTGTTTGCAAGTAAGTAGTGCTTTGGGGAACCAAAATGGGTTATTTTTGCCTTTTAAGTGCATGGGAATAAATCCATTACTAGCAGCTGAGGGTCTGTGCAAAGCCTGAAATTCCTTTGCTGGGTTCAATAACAAAGTTCTTTCTCTCTCTAATCAGGGCAATCGAAAGGTCTTCTACTGGTAAGACTTGCTGGAGTGGAGTTGTCACCAAGTGGCATTGCCTGGTTACAGCAAGAGTTAACACCCCAGCAGATGATATGGTTCCAACTTCTGGGAAGGGAGGACTTGGCACTAGAGTGCCTAGTTTTAGTAAATAAGGTAAATACAGCAACAAAAAATTTACCTGCAGTTTTGAGTTTGACTGTAGTTACACAATCCAGTCATCTCAGTACCTTTAAGGAAGATGATTATTTATAATTTATGTATCTTTATATGAAATTTAAATGTCGTATTTGCAGCTCTGATTTCAAGACCAGTGTTTTTGATGGCTGATTCATGACAGAGTATTTGTCTCAATAGAGCCTGTTTCTCTCAATAGGCTATACTGTGTAGTTCTGATAAGCCTAATGTTTAGTCTATCAAATGTTCTCTCACAAATGTCTTAGTATTTATATATTTAGCTATAAAATGCTATATTTATCATCAGTATTTGTTTTTAATTCAGCCAGAATCCTTTTAGCTTTTAGCTGTTTCTGCCGGAGTATAGATTTAGCCATAACTAAAGCTTGTATCTCAGAGGAAGCTGACACAAAAACATAAATAAAACAACTTTAAAGGTGGAGTATGTTTATTGTGCCTTTTTGTAGGGTCGATTTCTCAGCATGTGTCTAAATGAGGAGATCTTGAGACAGGGGCTTGGCAGAACGGCGCATATTAAAGGACTGAATCATGATTCCCGCCTGTACTGGAAACTTCACAAAAGACTCCTTCGAGCAGAGTTAAAGGCCTTGAAGAAAAATAAAGGAATATGGCAAGAAGAAAGTTACTCTGAAAGAATTAGAGATCGTATCAGTAACAATAAATTTGTACAAACATTGAAACAATTTGTGAGCTGGTTAAGACGCTCTGTTTAAATAAAAAGGGGACTTGTTTGGAGGAACACCAGCTACCTGTGTTATGTGCTTGATGTGTAGTGTAAGTTTATGGTAAAAACCAGTGCCATAATTTTGAGGGTCCATGTCTTGAACAGAAAACCAACAGTTACTTAATGCCATTTTATAACCCATGTGGGATTGAAATTTAGTAGCAGGCCACAAATTAAAACATTCTGAAGCCAAACTTTGTTACAGCAATGTCCTAAGTTAGTTGCCCAGTTTTCCACCTGCTAAATAACCTGTACATTTCTCTTAACCAACTGGTGAAAGCAATCAACAGCCCAGTTTTTAAGAGGTGCAGAGTGTTTGTTCGCAGTGTATGGCCTTAAATGCTTCTCTGCTACATGTCATTGCTACATAGCCCTCACTGGTTAGAAAACTTTACAGACCTTTACAAAGCTTGTGGTATTTACACACGAACACTTTGTCTGAATTCTGTTCTTACACTGCTTTTGTGTATCATTTGTGTTTTAAAAAGTCTTTCATCTTGAATAATGAGTTGCACTGTTCCTGATATTAAAGGTAATTTGTTACAGCTGATCCTAAACATCTGATAAGATTGTAACAACTAAAATGTCTCCGGGGAAAAAAAATAAATCACTTGGTATACCAAGGAATATAAATTAATATGCCAGTAGTCCAAAGAGAAGGCAACAATCACTTGAAGAGGAAAAACATATGCTGTTTTTTTCTGATGGTTCCATAAGTATCTAAAATCAGATGCAAATGTAAGTTTAACATGAAGTTTGAAAAGGTGGGCCATACTGTGCTAAGAACTTATTAAATTCTTACTCTTGTTTTATGTGGAAATGCATCTTAAGTATATGAGAGTGTCTTATTGTTTATTTTGTAAATATTCTCAGAATAAAAGCAATTCTTACGTTCATTGTTACATGTTTTATATATCAAGCACTTGACCTCTGTTTAACCTCCCACAGTGCCAATATTTGTTTAAAGTGAAGTGTTTTACAGATTTTCTTTCTTTCTGTGTGATTCCTTACAATGAAATACTAGGGAAAAGAGCTTGGTATAAAAAATTTTGATAGCTGAGCATTGCTTGTCTGACAATAAGTTGCTGCATCATCATTTTTTTCTGCTGACTTAGGGCAAAATTGTGAATCCTGAGATCCTAAAGTGAGAATAAATGTTAGTGCTTCTTTATTGCTTTAGCTCCTGGATCCTCTGAGGGGTGAGGCTGGTGTTTGCAAAGCACAGTGATCAGCTGGCAGTGAAGTACCTGCAGCACAGATCTTGGTGTAAGAAACCAGTGTGGGGGGAGAGGGGAAACAGTTCTGTGGGTTGAAGCAGGCCTCGATGAGAGCTGGAAATCGGGTATCCGTGCCTGCTAAAAAGTGAGGCACCTGGTTTTACGCATTATACCGTAAAGGGCTGGGCCAACCACTGCTGTGGTTTAGATATAACTCCTTCCTTTGGAGAATGACACAGGGATTCATGATCAGCTGTAGCATCATCTGAAGCAAAACTCAAAAGTTGACTTTGAACCCCAAACTACAAATTCAATCTAAGCATTAATCCACTTTCCACAGGGAATTACAGGTGTTCCAGTTCCTGCACCTAGTATGTAGAAAGCGCTTTTCCAAAGTGGGTATAATTGTACTGTTACATACTTTTTTTTCTGTAATAAACATAATTCTATGTGCACTTTCCACTCTCTTTTGTTAATGAGTCATAAAAGGATTGATCACAAAAATCCACTGTAAAGCTAAGAGCAAAATCTCAGGAAGCTGCATGCTGCATTTCTAGCAAGCAGAGAAGTGTAAGTGAATGGGAAGCAAGTTTGTTCCCTCACAGTCCTAACTCTTATCCCTTTTACCCTTGATGAATTCAGAACAGATTTGTCTAAATTACAGTGAATTGCTGTATCATTTCTGGTAGGTTGTGGCTTATGAAAGGTTTTTAAACAGTGGCAATAGGGCTGCTTCATCACTTCTGTCAAGGAAGCCCCCCCTTGGTATGAACCAAATTTTTAGAGTTCCCTCTACTGGTAGTAAAATAATCTAATAGAAATAATTGTAGAAGGAACTATGGAGAGGGATATTCAAATATTTGGATTCAGCCCTCTAATCTCTTTTCATGTTTGTTGCACAAGGCAAGAGGTTTTGGTGATGTGCTCTTACTACAGTTCTTGGTCAGAATACAAACATAGGGAGGTGGTTTTGTATACGGGATCAGCACTATGGTGGACAACACTAATCTCACAGAGAGTAACCAAGTGGTGTGGGATTTGTTATTGCAGTGACAAATGATTTGGGGAGAGTCAAGTCTGTAATTGTTTGTTAATGCTGTTTTCCTTATCATCCAGGGCTTATCTGTTTAATAAAAACAAACAACAATACACCCTGCCCCCTCAAAATAAGCACAGTTGGGTTCAAAGCTGTGCTTTCCATCTATGCAAGGCTTGAGAGGTTGCAGATCTTTTCTCAGTGGGAGGCCTCTCTATTGAAAAAGCAGTAACAGGAGTAGAAACAAACAGCTCTGCAGAGTCGAGCAGCTAACTGGGAGGTGGGGGAGAAGCAGCACTCTTCTGTATTATATAAAATCACCCCAGGCTGCCCCTGAGGAGCACAGTCCTGTTCCTTTAGCTACAGCAGCAACGCACATCAAAATATTTCGAAACAGAGGTTGCAGTTCTTATGTGATTAGCAGTAAAGACAAGAATTAAACTGTGTGCTCTTGTGCCTTTGCCCCTGCAACTCTGAATATGCTGTGAGCAATACAACATCTTCAGATGGAGTGAAAGGCCTTCAAATGGCCCACTAAGAAAAGCATCTTCAGTGTTACACAGGCTTTTTATTGCTGGTGCGGCATGCAAGGCAAATGGTTGCCATAAACACCACCAGCCTTTCCCGGAGCCCACCCCAAAACAGTGGACACAGCGCTGTTATGTTTTCGGACAGACTAACAACGGAGCTTGGCTGTGAGCATGGAACGAGGCCTCACCGCCACGGCGATACTTAAACCTCCTCCAGCAGAGAGTTGCATTCCTTCACACCAGGACTTCCGTTGACCGTCGGGTACGCTGTTTGTCAGGGATACTGGAGCTCTGCAGGTACCGGCTATCGTTTCCCTGCAGTTGCGCTCTGTTAGAGCAGGTGAACAGCCCCTGAACGTCATCATAGATTTTTAAAAGCAAAAAAGTACTTCAGAAGTCTGCCAACGCGGTATTCCCCTCCCCGAGGTGGGGATCCCGCACTGCTCGGAGAAAGACCCTTAAAGGCTCTTTCCGACTCCCGGAGAAGATGGGTCTCTCCCAGGGCTCGCCCCGTTCCGGCCCGCCCTGCGGCAGGTGCGGCCGTTGTGGCCGTTGCCGCTGTCGCGCGATGCTCTGAGGTGACGGAGCCGTCCCGCGCGTCTCCATGACACCCGCGGCCGGCGGGACGAAGGTGAGCCTCAGGGTCCGCCTCACCGCGGCTGCTCCCCCACGGCTCGGGAGCTCTGTGAGTCCGCCGAGGAGAGACTCTACCGGGACACGGCTAGGAGAAGGGCCCCTCCTCCTGCGGCAGCCCGTGAAGCGGGGTAGCGCTGAGGGGCAACACCGCGCCCCACCAACTCGGAGCACACACAATGGAGCAGGTTGAATGGAAGCGGGCGCAGGGCCGCAGCAACAACGGGGCTGGATCGCTGGCCTCAGCCGCTACCGCGGCCCCGCTAGCGGACGGGAACACACTCCACTCCGCGTCTGATGCTGCTCCGGATTTCCCCTGAGCTCCGCGCTGGAGGGCGGGCCGGGCTGGGCCGGGGCGGGGCGGGCGGCAGAGCCGAGCGTTTGAACGGGAGAGCAGGTTGCGGCGGTACCGATTGATCTGAACCTGGCGTCCCGTGGTGAGTGTGGACGGGATGAGCCCCTGGCGGGTAGCTTCGAGCCCCTGTCCCGTGAGGCTCGGGCAGGCGGGTGGTTGTGGAGCGGCGGGGTCGGTAGTAGGACGGAGCTGTCCTGGGGCGTGCGCGCACTGCCCGCCTCTGGGGAACCTCCGCTGGGGTCTTGCTTCGGGAATTAATGCCGGTTTTTCGGCGTGTTTGTCGCCGGAAGTTAAGGTAAGGGTTTACAAACTGTAACTTCCCCCCCCTCCCCCCCAATAAAATATTGCTGTGGTCGGTGAGAAACGCTGTACCTCACGGGACGCCGTTATAGTCCCTTTATCAAGAAACCAGGACCTTTCCTTTCTCTAGAGCCGCAGCCGGTCTGTGCCATCCTCGAGAGCATCGTGGGGTTCTCGAGGGAAGCGGCAGCGCCCGCACCACAGCTGGTCCATGGGCTGTTCCTTGGTACTCCGAGGTGCACCTGGAGCTGGCCGGAGTCATAAGGGGCTACACCGGCGGTTGTGTTGGCCGTATTTGTTCTGTTGGTTAAATAATGAATCATGCCGGATAAAATTCCAGCCGTCTTTGGGCTCTTTGCCCTCTTTCTTGGGGGTAAAACCTGCTTTTGCCGTGTGCTGTGGGAGGTTCTGCTTGAAGGCTGCGTCAAAACGGTTGCAGCACCCGATTCGGTGGTTAGCTAAAACCAGAGAAAGCTGCAGCCGTTTGGTATGCCTTAAATTTAGACCAGACCGTGTTAAATGAGGCTTCACGTAAAGTCTTGACCTCACTGAGAAGAGTCGAGGACACCACCCAGAGTGTTGCAGGATGTAACAATGAGGGAGAACACTTGGTCTTAACCCTGTAAGGTGCTGAAATAGGTGTGAGTCAAGCCTCTTGGGGTATTGAGTACTTCATCAGCCCTCAAACAAGGCATTTTTAGGATCTACTCCGCAAACCATTTTTCAAGGAGAAAAAGAGCCAAAACAAACAACAAAACAGAACATACAATGAGCTGGGAATTATACTCCATGCAGGTTTTGTTGTATTTAGGCAACTGTATAATTCTGGGAACTTCAACTCTAGCTGGCCAAAAAGTGTTCTTAAAAGAAGCGTTATTAAATTCCAGGGAGAGAGATATAAGCCTTATCTGATGAACTAGTCATAGGCTCTTTGTTTAAAGTGTGCTTT